TCGGCAGCGATGAGCCTCGACCCCACCTATTATCATATTAGTGACCAAGACCTGATAACGAGCGAAAGCCTGGCCTCAGATATGGTGGTGTCAAGCTCGGCCGTATAGCGTTGTGTAACATCAATTTCGATGGCCAGTGATGGAGCGATGCGGATAGCTGCCACCCTTTCGGATGCGATGGATGCACTTTTCGAAAACTTGGCATCAATATGGGCGGCGTCCATCTTCGTTTCGACCCTGATGCAAATGTAAGCACCAAGAGTCATGGGAGGAATGCCCGCAAAGACACCCACAAGACCGAGTTTCCATGACACGATCATGGAGAGAACTGAGCAAACAAGAACTGTGATGACAGAAAGCATAGTCAAAGTAATGTTGAAGCCCATGAGCTCGAAGAGAGACTGCGCATCGGAATCGAGTCGGCTCGTCAAGGCGCCTAGCGGCGGACCCAGGCAGTAGACATTTTCTTTACCTGCAAGAAGCACTTGGGATGCGCACTTCACTGCTGTGATTCGGACTCGGCATCGACATCGCTGCATGCAGAAGAACGACACTAAACCAGAACGCCAAATGACTTGTCTTGAGGGTGATATCATATGATGCAACAGGAGAACAAAACCCAACATGTCTCCGTGTAAAAAGTTGGTCTATACTCTGCCAGCAGAAAATTTTGGTCATCAAGGAACGCTCTATAGCTGGATGGCGTAGTCCTGTCGACGCAGGACCCGTCTGTAGCTCCTCGTCCATTCCACCCATCCCTCCTGATCGTGAGGCGCAACATTTTGACGCCGGTAAACACACTTCTCACACCCCGGAAAGCGCAGTGTCGGTTTAGTCGACCTGCTTCTCGCAACCGATCCGGCCAAGCAGCTCCTTCCTGTCGCTGTGGCTCGGCAGGCTGACGCCCGATGAGCTGGCCTGCCTCTTGACGCCAGACCTGCGTTCCCAGCTCTTGAGGTGGAGCTCTTCAACACCAACCTCCTCCTCGAGCGGAGCCTCCTCGTAGACAAAGTCATCCTCCTCCTCGGCCTCGTCGTCACTGCGGTTATCCTCGGCGCTACCGCCACGGATCACCTTGATAGCAACGCGGGCAATGAGGACGAACCAGGCAAAGATGAGGCATTGCAGCAGCAGAAGGGGTACAAGGAAGTACCAGGTGACCTTCTTGCCGAAGCAGACCATGCCCTCCGAGTCCCAGAACGGCTCGAGGAGATAGCTCGTGGTCTCCGGCACCGGAAATGGACCTTGGAGATTGCTATCGGAGCCCTTGTAACAGACCTCGCCGATGATATTGGGAATATCAGTGTAAATGGACCAGCAGACCATTGGGTACAGGACGTGGCGGGCGACGATCCAGTAGGTCAGGAAGACGCCGAACATGACATCGCAAACGGTCGTGAAGCCCATGTACTTCAGGCACTTGGCGAGCTGTGGTTCGGTTAGTCATCTGGGCACCAAGGTGGCAAGCAAGTCGGGATGAGCGTTCACATACCGGCAGGAAAATATCACCGACGTCCATAATGACGAGAATGACGTTGCCGACGCGCGTCTGGTGGTAAGCGTAGCACGAGAACAGCAGGCCAAGAGTGATGATGTGGTGGGTAAGCATCTGCCAGTGGTCGTTGCGGCGCTCCTCAATGTTGATAACAATGATCTGCTGGATCCAGAAAGCCGACTGGGCCAACGTGTAGAACTTGTTGAGCGCATTCAGCTCGCGAACTGGCCAGTTGGTCCACATCTCTTGGAGGTTGAGGAAGTATGAGGAAGTGCAGTAGATATACTGGACACCGTCAGTACATGTTCAAGGTCGCTTGCGGAGAGCAAATATCTGCAGGTCAACATACCAGGCCCATTGACCAAAAGATAATGTAGTACACCAGCATCCAGGACTGCTCGCTGAAGCGGGTCAGGTCCTTGGTCTTGCGCACTCCCCATGTCTTGGCAAAAGGAGCCAGAACGTATTCCATCGTGGCGGCGCGCAGACCAGTGAAGAGAATAACGCAGAAGGCGATGAAGTACATGTCGTCGCAACCATTCTTGTAATTGCCCGTGGCGGGGTTGCGGTATGACAGGGTGAAGAACTTGGCAGTGTGTGGTTGCGCTTTGGGGATGAAGTAGTGGGCGAGGAAGAGGAGGGCGAGGAGGTTGAAGGAGAGGCCTAGCATCGCACGAAGACGTTAGCATGGTGATCACTGTCAATGGACATTGTGGGGTTTCAGATGCCATGTTTGACAAGGGCGGCCGTGGAACCTGGTGGCTTGGGGCACTGAGACCTCCTCCACGAGGCAGCTTGGGCAGAAGGGAGAATGATGGGAACGCAATGGGCAAGATCCTGGCATTGGGCGTGAGACGTACCAATCTGGTTCTCAACGAACCAGCGAGCCAAGAGAACCAGGGCGCTGTCGTCCTGCTTCCTGTTGCGAGGCACGAAGCGCACGTTCTTGTTGCCGGCTGACTGCATGTATAATGGGCCGTTCATGTTCTGCGGCTTCTTCTGGCTGGGGTTTCGCTCAATGGTTGGAGTAGCGGTGCGAGAGACGGCCCGATCTTGCGGCGCGTCCTGGGGCTGCACCTCTGGGGAAATCTGAGCCTCGACCTCAGGCTGAAGCTGGGCCGGCTGAAGGACGGAGCCATCGACGTCGGCCATGGTGTGGGAGATTGGAGATCTGCGCGTCGAGAAGTTGCTGTGTCGGAGGGGAGACTGTTGAAAGTGGCCAGGTCGGTCCCAAGGTTGGGAGCGATTCGATCAAGGCTGCGGAAATGTTGATAGCTCGAACGTAGAAACAAGACGCAACAGACACAGTCTAAAGTCCACGGATGTTACTGCGCTATGCTGGTGACCAAAGGCACGGTCTAGTGGACGAGGAGCAGGAGGGTTTTTGGTTGCGTTCCTTTTCGCTTCCTCCAAAGAGCAACCCGTTATTTGTAGTCGGAATGCGCGGGAGGTAGGTTCGCAAAGACCTGGTCAGGGAAAAAAACGAGTGTTTTGCGGGGGGCTTGTCGACACAGCTGGCGAGCCGATAGGGGGGAGGGGGGGGGAGAGGACGAGCTGTCGTCGTTGAGGAGGAGTAGGGGGACGGGAGAAGAAAGAGTAGGGTTGGAGGTGAAACTAGGTTGAGGATCAAGATCAGGATGCAGAGGTCGATGCGGTGTCGTGGTTTGCTGTGCTACCCGTTGATGCCAGGTGCTCGACTGGCTCGCTTGGCTAGACGGGGGGCCGAGGAACTTGAAGCCTTGCTCGTCAGTGGTAAGGTAGGTGGTAGGTAATGTGATGTACATGGTACCTAAAGGTAAAAGGTAGGGTAGGAAGTACATTAGACCAGCTCGACAAGGTGGACATT